TGCAAGCACCACTTCCCCCTAAGAGTTCTAGTAAGGTGGCTGGCAGTCTTCATCGGGGTAAAGTGGAGGAGAAGGGCTACGGAAACTGAGTCCTAGTAATTGCCATTTAATTTTACGAAAATTTCAAATTTGCCACCGCTAAACATCTTTTGACAGAATTGTTAAGTTTAATAGTGAAAGTTTGGTATAATTTAGAAGAATGAGGTTATATTAGGAATTTAAGTTGGCATTGTACAATTTAAAAAACGCAAAGTACAATTTTGTTGAGCATGTGGCGTACCGACATTTTTTTTGTTCCGGTTAAGGTTCTAACAATATTCGCTTTTATTAAAATTGTAGATCTCGTAACTTAGATCAATTAATAAGTGAATTGTTAATGCAATTTTAATATTAGAAATTCTAGCGTTATAAATAATGAATTATACTAAAGAGTTATGAGCTAAATTTTCATTGAGTAAAAAACAAATCGTACCGGTACGATCTAAATCAAATCTGAATTAGTTTTATAGTGATGAAAATATTGAAATTATAATATTGTAAACCCGAATACATATTAGAATTTTACCAAATTCAACCTTAATTACAATTTGCTAAATCAATTTGCTTTACTCGGCCCAAACATGTTAAATTAATTAGCCCAACCAAATGCTCTGTAAATAATTAATCCAACAGCATGCAACAATCCCTTTGGTATAAAGAATAATGTTGTGGGCTAATTATCTTGAAGCTAATTATTTGAATTAAGCAATTAATTAGCCCAATCTAATAATTCAATCCTATGATTCCTATCCATCAATTTACTTAAGAATAATTTTATCCATCTCACTCATGAATTTAGACAAAGCCCAACCCAAATACTTGGTCCACTTGATAAAATAAATTTTTAACGAAGATCTATGAGTACTTTATTACCTTTTGAGGTCTTATACAACATAAACGAGATTTGTCTTGGTATGTAGCTCTTAGTGCACATCCTAATTGAGAAAAGTTAGGTTCAAACTAAAAAAAATATAAAGATATATTCATTTAGGCTCCGTTTGAAAATTAGAAAAATGATTTTTGAAAATATTTTCTGAAAAATGAGTCATTTTTCAGAAAACATTTTCCTTTTTAGTGTTTGGCTATACAACGGAAAACTGTATTTGTGTGTTTGGTTCATTTTTCAGAAAATGAGTAAGAAAATGAAAAGAAATGAATACTTCAAAATTTTAATTGTTTGATAGCACTCTCTCTCTCTCTCTCTCTCTCTCTCTATATATATATATATATATATATATATATATATATATATATATATATATATATATCATTTTAAAAAATGTAATTTTTTTTTTAAAAAAATGTAAATACGAAAAAATTAATATTATTTGTAGACTTTACTTTTTTTTTTTGAACTTTGAATTGAAAATAATAATAATAATCATAATCCGCGGACCGGCCCGTGGGGCCCGCCAACCCGCATGGGGCGGACTTTTTTTTTTTTTTTTTTTTTTTTTTTTTTTTTTTTTTTTATATGTAAACCACAATGTGGTCCGGGTATTTCTCTGTCCATTTAACGGTCCAGGTTCACCCGGTTAGCTCCGAGAGGTACAGAAGCTGGCCCAGAGGGAATCGTCACTTGTGGGAATTACCCTCGGGTTATCCCAGAATTCTCCCCCACAAAGAGAGCTCATGTTGGGTTGCATGGGGCGGACTTCGGTTGCATGAACCCTAGCTTGCGGGTTTGGTGGGCCGACTCGCAAAAGCTCACAAAAAATTAGGCTTGACAAATTTTGCATGTGCATCCTTTGGAAAATGACTTCAAAAAAAAAAAAAAAAAAAAAGAGAAATCATTTTCTCCCAAAAGATACCTATTTTCCTTTGACTAATGCTTCATTTTGCATTGACCTCATTTTTCTCTATCTTGCCAAACACTGAAAACTCAAAAAATAATTTACGGAAGTCATTTTCCGGATTTTCAAACGCACCCTTAATTAAGTAAATGCAAACGAATTAACTTGCACGTCTTTAGTTTATGGAGACTAGAAACTCAAAAAAAAAAAAAAAAAGGCTAATATTTAACTAGTATAACCAAATTTATTATTCAAAGAAAGGTGAGCCAAAATTGGCATGGAGATGGCTATTTAAAGCCAAGATTACAATCTTTCTGATGGATATATTAAGTATGGGCTCGGGGCGAACCGACCCGAGAAGGCCGGCGCGAAGGCCTAGTGCGGTCTCGGATGAGGCTGACCAAGGCCTCGGCCTGCGGCCTCGGGCGAGGCCTACGTGGGCCTGGAGGCCCAAGATGGCCCCGGGCACTCGCACGGATCCGGTCAACGCGTGATCCAACTGCCCCGCGAGAATAGGGGGGCGGTTGGGAGTCTTGGCTAGTATAAAAGGCTTAATTAGTGTCTTGCCTAAGGACATCTACTTCTATTGTTACGACATTTATCCTGTAACCCTTTTACGAATATTCTCAATACAAAGTTGTCCCCGCGACACACATCTTTCCGATCCATTTACTTATCGGGTTTAGTGATTCGGGTCTACCCCGGATTAATTAAATCCATCACTTTCTTACCTATAGTGTGATGGAGAAGGATGGGTAACTAATCAAGAGTACAAAGAAGTTAACTTAGCCAACTAATTTAGCTAATTTAATAATTAAATATAACAAATGCACAAAATAAATTATTAAACATCGTTCATATAAACTATTTATATGGAAGACACATATATATTATATCTTTTAAGATAAAACACTTTTTTTTTAAGGTCTTTCTCACTCTTTAGTCTTCTAAAACACTAAATTATCTTCTCTGAAACTTAATTATATATATTTTTTGTTTTGTTTTGTTTTGTTAAGTAAAGAAACGACACGCTGTTAGTGTTAACGGAGTGACACTACAGTGTATCTAAATCGATACTGCTTCACGTATTATTTTTATATTTTCAAATGAAACTGCAGTTATATCAAAATGATACGTACTGTAGTTGTGGTGAAATGAAACTGCAGTATATATAAAATGAAACTAAATAACATTTCACATATTTGAGTGTATATTATACAATGAAGTTGTAATTATATCGAAATGATAATGTAGTTGTGTTTTAATGAAACTATAGCGTATATAAAATAAAATTAAATAACATTTTCACATATTTGAGTGTATAAATATTAAATGAAGCTGTAGTTATATCGAAATGAAACTGTAGTTGTGTTGAACTAAAACTGCAGTGTATACAAAATGAAACTGAAGAACATAGTTATTTTTTGCGGAACGGCGAGAAACAGATTCTGTTTCTTTTCATTAAATAAAACGACGTCGTTTTGATGCGTGGTGCATAATCGATTATGCACCGCGGTGCACGATATAATTTGCCTTCTTGCTACATGAAACCACATAGCCATATAATTCAACTATTAAGGCATGCTATTTTTCTCTCTTAAATTCACTCCTAATACACATTTTGATATATATATATATATATATATATATATATATATATATATATATATATATATATATATATATATATATATGGTGATAACTTCATCATGGATTTTTCATGACAAAATGAGTTTATAACATAAATAAATATTGAAAGAAAGTTGTTGTGACTTTTGGTCATCTGACGATTATTCACTTCTCACATTTGATCCTCAACTATTAAATTCGCTGCATTTAGTGTGCAAATATGTTTTTTTTTTTTTTACTACATTTGGTCTTTCAACCAAATCTCTAACAATTACTTGCCGGAAAATGTAAATATTCTTTTATTCAAAATTGTTACAAGAGAAAATTTTAGAAATACTATTGTGTATTTAAATTTGAATGACTAATTTTCCATTATAACAACTTTAGGTGAAAGAAGATTTACATTTTTCAACGAGTAATTACTGAAGATTTAGTCACAAAAAAAAAAAAAAAAAAAAAAAACAACAACAAATGTAGCAAAATTATTAATAATTAAAAATTAAATATGTAAAGTAAATATCAAACACTTTGCGCTCAGATGGCATGTAGTGACTTCTCCCATGTGAGAGGTTATGAAAGATCGAGCCTCAGTGTCTTTGTGCTTAAATATATTTGAACTGATACTACATGCAATAGAGTCGGTAGCATTCAAAAAAATATATGTAAACTAAATAATAGTTAAGGGACCAAAAGTATTCTATTAAAAAAATCACATTGTAATGCAAAAAAAATAAAATTAAAATAAAATAAATGAGGGACTATTGGGACTTTTAAAAAGGAAACAAAATAGGCTTTTAGTAAGTCAATATAAAATACACGAACTAATAAGAAGCGGCATGCCCAGTATTGACCTTAATCTCGTAGACAACTTTTATGTTGTCGTATATATGGTTTTAGTTTAAACAGTGATCGCCGCAATTGATGAGATGGAAATATAATATCACAATCGCGCAACATCAGATTTTTTGTTTTTGTTTTCTTTCTAAAGATTGCCCCAACATTTTTTTTTTTTTTTTTTTTTGCACTTGTGTGATAATCATTTATCGAAATACTAAATAAAGTTTTTTAAGCTCAATTAATTTTTAAATGATAGATTATAAGCGAAAAAAAAAAAAAAAGATTGAATCCTTACCGTGACATGAGTTCCACCTAAAATTGTAAAATCTTAATAAGTACAAAATACAGGTCCTTTCATCTAAATATTTAATGGTCCACAAACTTTTGGTGGCGGCATTAGAGTATTAGACACTAATCTTCCAAAGTAATAAGCCTTGTGCCCTTGTGGCATGATCCAACCTCCCTCTAATGAGCCTCCAAATTCTTCTCTACATGCTTGAGTAAGATGACATCTAAAAATATGTTTAAATTGTCAACCATGAAGAGTAATTACCTTAAAATTTACAAAGTTTGATAAATTATTGAGCAATTAACAATTAAGAAACTCATGATTTCAACCAAATAATAATAATAAATTAAGACTCTCACGTAATGTTTTGTTGAATCTAATATACTAATGCAGATCTAAAGCATGGTTTATCCCGCTCATGGGTTTTGTCCACGTTGACTATCCGCCATTACTACAACTCTTCCCAAGGCTAAATTAAAGTCAGCAATCATCTTTGTCCCAATCATTAAAACAAACCCTTTTTGTTTTTTTCCAGGGGAGAATCTTGAAAGCCATAGCAAAAGGGGGAGGAGAAACAAGCTTTAATTTATGATGAATGAGCCATTGCTTCATCAAGAAAATCAACGGCCCCCATTTCCATCATCTCTGCTCATCTATCTATATGTTGGACACTTCCTTTCCAGATGGACTGCCAGGTCATTTCTTGCTTTCTTTTTGTGTACCATCAATTTCTGTCTTTTAGTGGTAATTTGATTCACTTTATTCATGTTTCACTGTTCTTTCTGGTACAAGAAAAAAGAAAATCAGAACTGAAAAACTAACAATTTTAATGCCCAAAACCCAGTTTCAGCACAGCATATAAATTGATTATTAGGTTGGATAGAAATTTAGAGGGTTCTGTTAGTAGCTGAGAAATTTTTTAATTTAGAGGATTCTAAGTGCAAAAACAAGAGTCGTATAGTTCAGGATGCTGATTCAAACTAGTAGTGATTCTATAGAACTAGCTGACAGAACACATTCTTCAATTTGATATCAAAGTTAGACTTAGACAAAAAGGTTAGGAACTCATTCTTCAAATTGGTATCAGAGTTAGACTTAGATGAAAAGGTCAAGAATACATTCTTCAATTTGGTATTAAAAATAGACCTAAACGAAAAGGTGGGTTCGAAGACAATGTCTTTTGAGACGAAAAGCGTCGTTCAATTGAATACAAAGGTTTGAGTTTTTGTAAGAGTTTATGAAAATGCACCATCTTCCTAATTGCAGGATGTGGGAATTCTCTGTGGGATTGTATATGATCAATCTGTGGCCCAATTCTTTAGTCCTTGCTGCTGTTTATGGTGCTGTGGAGTCTGCTTCCACAGCTTTGCTTGGACCAGTAGTTGGAAAATGGGTGGATAAGTTCACATATGCTAAGGTTCACTTGACCTCTCCTAGGATAAGTATAAAATGAGATGTTATCTGTCATGAATTTGCGGTTTAGTTTGTTCCCCATACATAGTCTGATTTTGTACTCCCAGGTTCTCAAGCTATGGTTGTTAAGTCAAAATCTCTCGTTTATCATTGCCGGGGGTGCAGTGGTTTCGCTTCTGGTTTGGGAGGATTTGATGTCAATCAACTTCACGGCATTCATGTTACTCATAATATTGATCAATATCTCTGGAGCTGTTGCCATGCTTTCCACTCTGGCAGGAACCATACTGATCGAAAGAGAATGGTGAACGAACCGTTTTTCTTCCCTAAGATAAAGTCTTAAGTTGTGTGGAATTACATGAATGCAGAGTTTTAGAGTGCAAAAGATGAGAAAATTGATTGGTTTGCAGGGTAGTGGTGATATCAGAAGGCCATCCTCCTGCAGTGCTGACAAACATGAATTCGATAATAAGGCGAATCGATTTGATCTGCAAGTTATTTGCCCCTGTCATTTCGGGCTTCATCATAAGTTTTATCTCCCTAACTGCATCCGCTATGGCTCTAGCCCTGTGGAATATCGTATCCGTTTGCCTAGAATACTGGCTTCTAACATCAGTGTTCTTTGGGATTCCGGCATTAAGAGAAAGCAGCGAAAGAAGGGTCTTAAGATCCTCGCCAAACAACACAGAAGAACGCCCCTCGGTTCACGTGTCAAGAATTCCTTATATCAGTGCTTGGAAAGTGTACTTGCAGCAAGATGTAATTCTCCCGGGATTAGCTCTTGCGCTGCTCTATTTCACAATCCTCAGGTAATTTTACCAAAATTTAGGCAAGAAGATGCTGTGGTTAACTAACTTTTCGACCTTCGATTGCAGCTTTGGAACTTTAATGACTGCTACGCTTGAATGGGAAGGCATACCTGCATATATCATTGGCATTGCCCGGGGGATAAGCGCAGCAATAGGAATCGCTGCTACGTTTCTGTACCCCGTCTTGCAATCCCGGATTTCAACCTTTCGAACAGGGCTATGGTCAATCTGGTCACAGGTACTCTATAACACCATACCATCCGTTTTACTAGTACTAAACTTCTGAGGCATCACGAACTAAAACAACGATTTTCTTGACTTTGTATCGGTTTTTCTCCACAGTGGAGCTGCCTCCTGGTATGCGTAGCGTCCATATGGATGCACGATAAGCTCGTGTCAGCATATATGCTTATGGCGGGAGTAGCTGCATCGCGCCTGGGGCTATGGATGTTCGACTTATCAGTCATTCAGCAAATGCAGGTAAGAACAATGTTGAGTCTAACATAGTTGTTAACATTGGACTAGTTACCATTATTGTTGTCCTTTCCGAATAGGACCATGTTCCCGGAAACGATCGTTGTGTGGTAGGAGGGGTTCAAAACTCGCTGCAATCTATATTTGATTTGATGACTTATCTCATCGGCATTGTCATATCAGATCCCCAAGTAACCTTCGTTTACCTTTTAAATAGTAAAATATGTCGGTGTCTCGATAGCTTACTTGGTTGGAATTCAAATTTGTTGTTGGTGCATTTGGTTCAGGATTTTTGGGAGTTGATATTGTTGTCCTTTGTACTGGTGACACTGGCGGCCATTTTGTACAGTATACACATCTATCGTGTGAGGAAGCACCTCTTCCATTTTGAGAAATTGCCTATTATTGGTACCCATTTCTACTATTCAAATAGAGTAAATTAGATATTTGTTTTTCTTTTTTATTCTTAGCAGTAATGTTTTGTATTTCTTGATTTCTATCCCTTTAGTGAGATCTACGTACTCTTAATAGTTTATTGTATTGGTGTGGTCTTGTAACGTTTTATGTATTTTGTGCCAGTATATTTTGTAGATTTATTTTAAACTGTATTTTTGGACATTTTCATTTTAAACTATGTATTTTGTATTAAGGATATATGGAGCTGACATATTCCTTCTTTGTTTGTTTTGGTTTAGTTCTTGTTGAATAGCTGTATATGGTAGATTAGTTGTTCTTGTTGCCAATTCGATTGGTTGGCTCCATAATTGCTAGTATTGGTACGAGCATTTCAATTGGAGTTCGATTGCCAATTGTTTCAAGGGAACGAAGTCCGCTGAGTGACATTAGCAGTCGCCAACAACAACTGGCGTGAATCGTCCGCGTCCTTCAACTGACGTTCATGGTCAGTTAGGATATTGGCTAGCTCACCCAGCGAGATGGGTTTTTCACGAACGCGGATTGCAGAAATAATGGAGTTGTACTCCTCTCCAAGTTGAGTCAGGATGTACACAAGCAAATCTTCATTAGACATCGGACACTGAGCCAAGGCAAGATCATCATCAATGGTTCGCATGTCATTAAGATATGCTTAAATAGACCGAGAGCCTCTCGGGCTTCTGGTTAGCTTCGTCTCGAGGGAGATAATATGTCCTCGGGAGGCACTAGCATAAAATGTGAATTTCCTACTTTACCCTTCAAATTTTAAAGGTATTTGAGTTTTCCCGTCGGTTTAAATGGACCCTTAATATTGGGGACCAAACTAACCACGTCGCTCATAATTGAAGGACTAAAAATAGATACGGATATAAATGAAAGACTAAATCAGAATTTGAGCGTAACTCAATAACCAAAGATGTAATTTTCTTTTTTCTTTTTGTTATTCCAAAAAAAAAAAAAAAAAAATGGCATACTCATAAACTAACCAAATTGATACTTTGCCCATAAAATTGGCACTAATATAGTATAAGCATTTTTGGTCTTATAGGGGGCGTGTTAATTTCGGTACGTGATTTTTAAAATTAACAATTTAGTCTTTAGCTATGTTTTTTTTAGCAGATTTGATCCTCCCTTCCAAATCACCGGTGAATTTTCGCTGAAAAAATGTAATCCATTTTAAATTAAATATAAGTGGAGGCAGAATGGTCAATTTAACTTTTAAAAAGGGGCAAAGTCGCTAGAGATCAGACCACGATGTGGATGTTTGGAGTCAATTTTTTGACGAAGAGTAGCTCGTTCTGGAACTGTCACTCGCCTTGGAGAGAACCCAGGGCTAGCGCGACGCAGGGCGGCGTACGAGAATCGGTGGGGAGGCTTTAACTCTGCATCTGGCGAAGGGGACTGTCCGCTTGCGGGAAATCTTCCGGAAGCAAAAAGTGAAAATGAGGAGGATGGAAGCGGCGGTTGCTATCCCTCCGGCAAGCGGCGCCATTGTATTTTGTTTTTTCCAGTTCGGAACATGAACCGGCCATCCCGGTTCGCGATTTTAATAAACTCTAAATATCGGATTTCATTCTAAATTGTAATTAGAATATTTCGTTTTGGTTGCTATAGTGTCTGTTTGGTTTGAACCAAATTGTTGTCATAATTAGTTGGAGAAGAAAAATAAATTAAAAATATTTATTTTAAGGGTAAATATGTTAATTTAACATTCCAGGGGAACAGTCACTTAAATAATTCAGGAGAAAAAAGTGCTATAAGTATATAACTCAGGAAAAAAAAAAATCATTTTCTCAATAAATAAATAGAAAAATACTCCACAAATTAAAGTGAAAATCTAAATAATTGTAATTGGTTAAACTATTAAAATTTGTATAGATTTTCACTTTCTTGCCACGCATAAAGACTTGACTGTACGTTAATGTCCACAATTAAAGATTTGAATTCAGATATTACGACTATCGGTGAAATAATCTATCAATTTTAGTTTAAATTGGTTAAAGTAATTAAGTCACGGGGAATTTTCCATACGGAATCGGCATCTGTCATGTGATGCCGCCATTGTAAGGCACGATGATCCTATATGGTCCAACATTTCACGATAAACCTTCACCATAAGAACTTATGCGGCGCCAGGTATGACCTTACAGACACTCATTGTTTGCACTAGCTAGTGAAATAATGAAACAAAAAATTTAAAGATTTAAGAATATACACATGCAAATATCTTATATAGTTTAAAATATTAAATTTCAGTCAAGTTAATTAAGATGTTGACTTGATAATCATAAGCTTATATATTTGACTCACAAACAAGTTTATCTAATGCACACCCTCAAATAGTAGTTACGAATTTTTTTTTTTTTTTTTAAAAAAGAAGAAGAACATTTGAACATGGATGCATGCTTAATTTTTATAAAACATTATTATATCCCTAAAACATAGATTTAGATTCTTAAACATGTACTTATATATATATATTTGTATATACTGTTTTGTTTTATTGTAGTATTTCATATTTATTAGTCAAATTAACATGTTTCTATAAAACTTTAATACTAATTAACATGACAAATCCTTTTACCGTGGATAATAGTCCACATTGTAAGGTGGACCACTAGTCTAAATCTTCATCTTTTTAGTGTATAGTATCACATATTTATTTTTAATATAATATAAGTACATTAGGTTTTTTTGGTGGAGATATAAGTACATTAGTTGTGTACATAAAAAATGAACATTTAATATACAGAGTAATAAAAAATAAATTTTCAATATATTTAAATAATAAATTTTTAATATATTAAAAATGATCTGTATCAATGATCCACTTGCAATGTGAATCATGATAGGCAGTGTATTATGTGACTTTATGTCTTATCAAGACATGACAAGTTGGGCTGAGGGGGAAAAAATTGATGCGTGTTAGAGCATCCATAGTAGTTTAACTCCGGCGCGATTTTTTAGGGATTTTTGTAAGTGTGATTAGGAAAGAGATAAAAATGTGGGTGAAAAAGAAAAAGGAAAAATTAAACAAAATCTAACATTTAAAAAAATTAAAAATGAAGTTAAAAGTAATGTAAAAGTCAGGCTGGCAGCCACTCTGACGCGTCCCAGTGGGCACGTGTGGCACACGCGCCTGCGCCTAACACGCACTGCAGCGCTTTCTCTTTTTTCTTTTTTCTTTTCTTTTTTTTTTTTTTCCTGCCATTAACCCTACCTTTGCAGGGGTATTCTTTTTATTAAAACATATGTCTCCCATCAGTTACTCTGCACAATATCGTTTCAATAACTAGGTATTCACTTTTAATGGTGATGCTCTTATTGATCAAAGTCATCAAATTAAACTCTCCAAACTTTCCACTTCTTTCTTATTTGTTTTGTTTAACATTTTTATAACTTTTAGATTTATCTTTTCGCATTTAACATTGTAAATATATAATTTTATTTACAAATATTAAATTAAATTATAAATAATTGATTCAAGTTTTGTCCACTAAATAATTAATTAAGCACATAAAATAAAATAAAAGGAATATTAAGTTTTGTATTTGATTTTATCATACACGTCATTATTTAATTAATTTACAATAATAAAAATTAATTTAAAAAATAATTAACTATTATAAATTCGACCAAGATGTTTATTAGTCGTCTAATTGTCTCCAAGTCAAAATCACTAGTAGTGTAGTCTATAACTCGATATATAGTAGATACCTTTATTATGATTTATGAAAGGTTGTTAAATTTGCACTACTAAAATAATGAAGAAAATATTTAATAATTTTGAACATGTGTACGGAAATGCTTTGTATTTCAAGACAAGAAAAACACTCAAATACATTTCATTTTATAATGACAAAGTCACACATCATTGAGTCTTTCTAAAACATCACCAGTTTAGATTCTTCTAACATTATAATAAAAAAAATAAAAATAAAACATTATTATGACAATTATAATATCCAGCGAAAAAAAAAGTTTAACATGCTCCGAAAGGGTTGGCCAAGTAGTTGGTGGATAATTTTCATACCTGAAAATTACATATTCGATTCTTGCCAACACTTAATTGGTCGAGCTCATCACATAGGATTTTCTTAGTGTGATTTACTTATCCTGTATAGTGTTGGAAAAAATAGTTTAAAATGGCATAAAATGGCATGTTAAGTGGTCATTTTGTGGTACAATTATCAGTGGGGTCCACTTCCGATTTGGGTCGGGTTAAAGTGGATTCGGATTCTTCGTAGTGAGACGAAGAGATCGATATATTGTACGCTCAAAACGGATAATGGGTGAATGAGATATTGATTCTCAAAGTAGACCCATTTGAGTTGGAAAATGAAGGGAAAAAGTGAGCTTTTGTCCCACATTGCTTTGGAATGAAGATTTTCCCCCCTTATATACAAGAGCTCTTTTGAAGCTTGTAGAATTGTATAGCATAGAGGCTCTCTTTCGCGCGCGCGCGCGGGGGGGGGGGGGGTGCAAATCAAATTCCAATTAGCAGAGATTGAAAAAAGGCTTGATTCAAGCCCGAGCTCGTGTGCGCCGGCACGAATATCGTCCGGAAATTGGCTGGTTCGGTTCGAAAGTTGAGACCGAACCCTGTACGCCCGGAAATTGGCTGGTTCGGTTCGAAAGTTGAGACCGAACCCTGTACGCTAACGGTCTGGATCCAGAAAGTTCTGACTGCTGAGGGGATTGAATTCATCTGTTACGGAATTAATTGTCTATTAATTCCAATTTTTGAATTCTGAATTCAATTCCCAGGTAGTGGCCTGCTGTTATAGCTGTTGGAAGGCAGCTTTAATGTCATTTTTAATTGACATAATAAAGGCTATTGGCTCATTCAACCCTATATAAGAGAGGGTAGAGGCAGTAGAGATTTTACACACAGCAATAGAACACGAAAGTTCGTTTTTCCAGCTTCAAAACCTCTCTGCTTCTACTCTTTCTTGGCCTACTGTGTTCATAGCCATTGTCTTGCTCGCCGGATTCCTTGTTTGAGTGCTCAAACATTGAATCATTAGCAAGTTTTATCCTGGGAAGCCTAGGCCACAACGCTCCTAGCATCTTTGGAAGGTGGCAAATAAGATTTTAAGGAAAGAGTGCTTACTTGACTCTTGCAAAAACCCAACACCAAACACTA